CATATTGTCTGCCTCGACTTACCGAACTATAGTTTTTTTTTTTATTTTTTTTTTATTTTATCTTCTAATTGTACTACTGAACATTAGGCTATTAAGAGAAATCGATTGTACCACCATCATGTATAGTTTTACTCATTACTACGTGGGTAAACTATGAGCTATAGCTTGACCTTGAGGTTTGAGGTCGAAGCTTCAATTTTTATGCTTAACGGCGGTCAAAACTTCCAAGCTACTTTCCGGCAGAAAATGCCGGGTGGGACTATCTACCTACGTGGACTCACAATGCCCTAAAATCACGATTCATTAACGATTGTGAGGGCGTCCTCGGGGTGGCGTCGTGACTCTGCTTGTGGAGTTGACCACGAGAACCCTCCTACTCTGACTGGATTTTAACAACAGCGGGAGATCAGATGTCGATAGAGTACAAGATGAAGTCGTTTGATGAGGTTAAGTTAAGGTCTCTTAGACCTTATATCTCAAGGTGGGTGGCGCATTTACGTCATAGATGTCTATGGGTTCCAGTAACCACTTAACACCAGGTGAGCCGTGAGCTTGTCCACCCATCTAAGCAATAAAAAAAAATAAAAAAAAGTTTAAGCCCTAAATATATCTTTGGGCCCGTGGTCTGCTCCGAACATCTGCAGACCCTCCAGTCCCACAACCTCCGCGTGCCCTCGTAGGAGGTTCGGCCTCCTGTCGGAAAACAAAAAAAAAAGGTTGTAACGGTATTAGGTAAAATCCCCCAAATACCTGAATCACGCCAACAAAACAGACGTATACACATTACATGACTAGGTATACATACAAATATACCGACTTCCTCCGTACAATAATCCTTTAAATGCACTGGTTGTCCTGAGATATTAGGTATAAGTATCAATTTATTTATAACTTTCTATACTTGACAGTATAAAGGCAGACCTAATACCATAGGCATTCTCTGACAGTCTACCTTAGGGGGGTGTAGAGATGAACCTTGGTAGGTGTAGTGTGATAGTAATATTACTTAAGCATACGTATATATATATAACATACTTAATAATTATAGATACAAATAATCGTGCTTAAATAAATACATATACAGAAATATATATCTGAAGTCGTCGTGGCCTAAAGGATAGGACGTCCGGTGCATTCTTATCGAGCGATGCACCGGTGTTCGAATCTCGCTGGCGGGTACCAATTTTTCTAATGAAATACGTACTCAACAAATGTTCACGATTGACTTCCACAGTGAAGGAATAACATCGTGCAATAAAAATCAAACCCGCAAAATTATAATTTGCGTAATTACTGGTGGTAGGACCTCATGTGAGTCCGCACGGGTAGGTACCACCGCCCCGCCTATTTCTGCCGTAAAGCAGTAATGCGTTTCGGTTTGAAGGGTGGGGCAGCCGTTGTGACTATACTGAGACCTTAGAACTATATCTCAAGGTGTGTGGCGCATTTACGTTGTAGATGTCTATGGGCTCCAGTAACCACTTAACACCAGGTGGGTTGTGAGCTCGCCCACACATCTAAGCAATAAAAAAAAAATATATACATATAAAAAATAACAATAAAATATCAATTAGGTCACTCTGCTAACTTTCAGCTCACACTAAGTACTCAGGATCATATTTGAACATTTTCGACGGCGAACACTTATCATTGGGTGGGGCGAGTGCTCGTATGCCTACAGTGACAATAAAAAAGGAATCTCTAATACGATTATCGTTTGCACGTCAACTTTTTATCCAAAAGTAGTTCTACTGCATCATAATAATAAAGGCTATGATCATATGAAATAATTCCCATCCCCGCACAGCTATTGCGACACGCAGCTTCCCTATAATTAGATCTGTGACGTGATTTGTCGCGCGTCCCAAACCACGCCCCTCCGTACATAGCACCGTTGCTATCTATTATCCTGTTTTCGTACTCTTTAGTATCCTGTATACAAGGTCCCTTCGTCCTGCGAATATATCAAACATGTATCTTGAGTAGGCGACAATAATCCAAAATGTAACCGAAAAATACTCTATACCTATATAAGTATACTCTATTTTCATATTATGAAACTTTTAAGCCCACTCACTTTCCGCCGGATCTTCTCAGTGGGTTGCAATTCTGATCCGGTGGTAGATACTGGGATACACTGCTCTTACTACGGCTAGCGTTAGCCAAAGAGGAAAGATTTGTTTGTTTGCTTGTATTGAATAGGCACCGAAACTACTGAACCGAATTGAAAAATTCTTTCACTGTTTGGAAGCTACACTATTCCCAAGTGACATAGGCTATAATAATCATTTTTGAAAAAAATTAGGGATCCTTACTAAAACTCCAATAATGTAACCCAAGGTGTAAAAAAATTACCTAAAATATTCATTACATCGCGTGCGAAAACTATTGATGATGGAATAAAATAATGTACTACGACTTTGTAGAACACATTATTATTTACAAAAAGTGTCGCAATAGCATATGTCTAACTATTATAGTTATGACGCAATAAGTGTTCTTTTATTAAAAAAATTTAAAACAGCGTCAAATATCGTTAAAATTTTTATTAAAGACCCGAGCGGAGCCGGAGCGGGCCGCTAGTTTTTAATATAAGCTTCCAAACTATCGCTTGCTTCACTTAAAAACACACATTTTGAAAACGAAATAAGAAGATTAAATGTCGCCTTACTGACACTACTTTCAATTATTTATATACTGAAGCAGGTGTTTTGTTTGTTTGTGTTTACCCTAAAAAAAATAAAAGAACCCTATGTATATGGAAGTTTTAACGATGTGATATCATTATTTTTAATTAGCGGACAAAATACTGTAAAACCTAGATCACGGTGTCACTAGATAAGACATACAGTCCAAGAATAAGGACGCTTGGATAAAATATTTTCTGTGACGTCATATGTTTATGTGAAAACAAATTGAAAGCTTTTCTACCAATACTACGTATTTACTGTAGTAGTAATTATTGTAACTAAAGAGTATATTATGTAAATAAAAAATATCCTAATAAAATAGTTGGACAAGACTTGGAAGTAGAAAGGGAAACAAGAAAATAGTAAGAAAAATTATTCAACCAATTCAAAATACACTCGCGACTTTAAACCATTCCATCATGACGTAACTCTAAAGATGTCGGTTGCAAATTAGCCGTCTAATTTTTCTTTAAGCCTTTAGGTCAATGTATTTGTTCATAAAGCATAACTACTGCACATAATTCTAAATTTGTTTTGTTGCCAAAGTTGATAAATCTTAACCGCGTTTCTATCTGGCTACATTAGAACAAAATTATAATTTGCGTAATTACTGGTGGTAGGACCTCCTGTGAGTCCGCGTGGGTGGGTACCACCACCCTTTTTTTTTTTTCGGGTAGAGGGCCGAACCTCTTACGAGGTCCCCGCGCAAAAGGGACGCGCGGGGTATGTGAGACTTTACAATCTGCATGGTGTTGTGAGCAGACCGCGGGCCCAAGGATTTTAGGGCCCACTCACTAAACGACTCCCCTGCACTCTTACACCCGACGTCCGATCCCCTCCGAGGTCAGAACCACCACCCTGCCTATTTCCGCCGTGAAGCAGTAATGCGCTTCGGTTTGAAGGGCGGGGCAGCCGTTGTAACTATACTGAGACCTTAGAACTTGTATCTCAAGATGGGTGGCGCATTTACGTTGTAGATGTCTATTGGCTCCAGTAACCACTTAAAACCAGGTGGGCTGTGAGCTCGTCCACCCATCTAAGCAATAAAAAAAAATCCTTCCATATCTCGTTATAAAAATAAACTTATTCTCAAACCGGATTCAGTAAGCAGTATTGAAAATTCAATGGTAAACGATAACGCTTCTAGTATTACCTATTAATTAATAGCATCTGTGTTTCAATAGCCTACACAATGTAAATTAATAAAAAGTTGAATTTTAGGTGTCGAAGTGAAACGCAGTATTTTTTTTTTATCCGTTTCGATATTGTAAAAGAATGTGAATTGCCATTTAATATTTTTACAGCAAACAGCTGAACTGAACTGCAGTTTGTGTTTTGCAGTTTCTAAATTTAGGTTTTGTGTTTTCAGTTTGCGTTCAATTTGCTTTTTTTTTATTGCTTAGATGGGTGGACGAACTCACAGCCCACCCGGTGTTAAGTTGTTACTGGAGCTCATAGACATCTACAACGTAAATGCGCCTCCCACCTTGAGATAAGTTCTAAGGTCTCAAGTATAGTTGCAACGGCTACCTCACCCTTCAAACCGAAACGCATTACTGCTTCACGGCAGAATTGGCAGGGTGGTGGTACCTACCCGCGCGGACTCACATGAGCTCCTACCACCAGTAATAAGTTGCTTCGATGCAGAGGTACACTGTCAAACCATCCTAAATCTAATAAGTATAGAAATATCAATGACCCTCAAATGTCAAATGCGAATTTATTATTTACTAGTTAAAACCGACTCGCTTTGTTGGTCGATCCTTGATTTTACTTTGATTTGATTACACAAAATCTGCCACTAGTCCAATATTAAGAGTTCCTAAAAATTTCAGCAATATTCGTCCAGCCATTTCAGAATTTATGAGGAATATACACACATCAATTCATAAATATAGATTTGATTGACACGTACCTTAGCTCACCTAAGAACTACGGCTAATGAATAAAACAAGAATGCTATTGGCATTACGATAATCCAACAAATAGTTTACACAATATTCTTCTACTTAACCTATACATATAAATAAAATTGGCGTGCCTGTTTGTAATATTGAAATAATCGCTTTTTACTACATTAATACGGTACATACACCAAAATAAAATTTTTCACAATTTTTGTCTGTCTGTCTGTTTATTCCGGCTAATCTCTGGAACGGCTGGACCGATTTTGACGAGATTTTCACTGATAGGTAACTGATGATATAAGGAATAACTTAGGCTACTTTTTTAGATTAGCTTCGCCCTGCAATAACCGCGGGTACAATCGCGGTACTGAGCTAGTTTATAAATATAAGCTCTTTGTTACAGTTGTGATGCACAAAGAGAAGGAAGACCTCCACGGGCATCGAAGGGAGCACTCTCTGTATGACCACGTCATGCCGGATGGAGAAATGTTTTTACAGGTAAATGCAATTGACGTATATATATTTTTTCGATTCACATCAGACATAAAAACGTCCACAAACATTTTTGCTGCTCACTTCCAGACCTGACTACACTTACATCCTTTCGATAGTATTAAGATTCTTGGGATCGTTATTCCGAGTGTAGTTATGTCAAATTGGCTTCTTGTACTGTTGGGAGTCCTCGACATAAAGCTGTTTTTTTCCATACCTATGCTGATAGCCTTGAGAGGCTATATCAGCTTCTCCTTGACGTGTAGGTGATGTTATTGATATTTGCCGTGGTTCTTAAGGAATGTGGATCTCCATGATGACCTGGAGCTTGACTCAATCAGAAAGTATATACAGTCGGCACCAATGCCCCACTTTGAGAAGACGACACGACACGAAAACCCTCTTGTCGCGGCCGTCCTAAATTACAGACCCGATCCTGTGGACCGAATGGTTAACGGTACCTCAAACACCCATCACCGTCCTCGCCGAACCCGTCGCTTGCAACGTAGGGCTCAGCGAGTAATAAACACAGCCCACTTAGTTTCTCGCCGGATCTTGTTAGTGCGTCGTTATTCCGATCCGATGGTAGATTCTGCGAAGCACTACTCTTGCTAGGGCTAGTGGCGGGCGTAGCTGAAATAGCCTATTCCGCTACCAGAGAATAGGTAGGGAAAAAAAGTCGGCTCTCTTAAAGATATATCATTAACTAAAACACCGTTAAAACAGAAGTTCAATGATGCCTACATTGCTATGTTGCTAAGAAAACTATTTACAATGTTGCAAAATGCTATGCAATTAACAATTGTGTTTTTCGAATTTAATTAACCGACATTACAACCAAAAAAAAACGGGTATTGTATTCGGAGGCATTTGTGAAAACGTTTTTTTTTTTTTTGTTCTGCAGAAACAAACTGTTGCATTCAATTTATGAGGTGTCATTCGGTTGATTATTTTTCTTTCAATTAAGCTATTTAATAGGGAAACGCAGTATTTTTATTTCATTCGCGTCCACTTAAAACGTTCACGCCAGACTTCTGCATCGTTTTTGCCTCGTAAAATATCTTGTAGAGCGTCGTTTGATAGCATGAGTTCTTATTTTCTTCTGTATTCTTCACATATTTTATTTTTGTTTGGTTGTTATTTTGGCTGCGAGATTCATTGATCGCTTACATTTTAAAAATATAATATAGTTTACTAGCCATTCCCACTTGAAAAACATAGTTGTAAATAGTAAAAAAAATCGTTTTCGTAGGGGATCGATCGCCTTTATTGTTACATGTAAGTTTAATTTAAATAATTAAGTAAAATATCACCGCCATTCTTGAGGCATGCAGTGGAATTTTCAATTATGACACCTGCCTAATCCACCAAACCAGGATGCGTGATGGCAGAAATAGGCAAGGTGGTGCCTACCAGTGCAGTGTGCTGTTAAAACTGAGACCTTACAACTCATGTCTCGAGTTGCGTGGCGGCATCTACGTAGATGTCTATGGGCTCCGCTAACCACTTAACACAAAGTGGACCGTGAGCTCGATCACACATCGAAGCTAGCAATTTTATTTTTCACAAGACGCCCTACTACCAATAATTTAATTTATTATTTTATTTATACTTTATTTCAGTTTTTTTTTAAAAACCATAACATTAACATTTTGTCAGTAAGAATTACTTATAATAATTACGCTAATTATATTTTTTGCGGAATGATATTTATCACACGATGTTAAATTCCTTCAGCGTGGAAATCTTTCGTGAACATTTGGTAAGGACGTATTCCATGAGAAAAACTTTTACCTGTTGGATGGATTCGAACACCGACACAGTTGCATTTTTTAAGACACTATACACGCTGCTTGAGACCTTGATAATTATAATTCAGGACATACACGGACACACATTAAAAATATCCAAAATAATGATAACACTCTCCAGTCCAAAAACTACCAGTCGATTTATAGTTCTATTTTTTATAGGTGCGTATAATCTAAAAGCAGAGAACACATTGTTCGTATTTAATAGAAAAAATTACACACCACTTATCATCTTATTAACCACGATAAAGGCTTACTATGTGTCCATACAGATCAGAACACTTTAGTGTGAAATTTTTGTCACTCAAATCGTCCAATATTTGATCCAAGCATGCAAATTATCACATTAATAACATCAGTACCTATGTATTATTACATATATTAGTATGGATTTTAAATCTGTACATTTAGTGGCCTAAATTATAACAAACATATATACAGTAATGAGCACTAATCAATAATTTACACATAGGATTACCTTATTCCCGATTTAATTTTATTTTCGATGAAATGATAGAAAATCTTGAATAGTGACGTCATTAAGTTCGACTTCATATCTTAACAAATTGACGGCAAAAACTTTATGCATTGTTTTTATTGCTTATTAAATTTAGTTTTAATTAATTCCAGGCCCTAAACGGATTCCTGATGATCCTGACCTGCGAAGGAGAGGTCTTTTTCGCAACGCATTCCATCGAGAGCTACCTCGGCTTCCATCAGGTAAGTATTATTTATACATACTATATTTGAGACCTTAGAACTTATATCTCAAAGTGGGTGACGCATTTACGTTGTAGATGCTTAACTGTAACTACAGTTTGCTTTCAAAATACTATACAACGCATTTCTGAATACGCCGGAATAAGACAATTAAAATAATAATTTGGAGTTGTGTGAAATTATCCAAGGTCTCATTATACTATAAACTAGAAATTTAGGTCACCTAATGGCTAATGGTTAATTAAATAAAAAAGCTAACAACTTATTTCACGAAATAATAAGCCTCCTTAATCACCAACAAAGATAAGGGCTTTATACGAACTTAAATAATAAACTAAAGTACACAGTAAAAATATTAATTACCCCGCGATAAGTTAAGTCTAAACTCGCCCTTACTTATCAGAGTGTAAATGTTATGTAAAAAACATTAGGGCGATGACCTCGCTTTGTTTTTTTTTTAATTAGGTTTGTAACAAATGGAATTATTGTTGTAGGATAGGCCACGCTATAAATGCGGTCATAATATGGCGTAGAGGTACGAAGGTCGTTTTCCTTTTTCTGCAAATGACGTCCAGTCGATGCTAATAAAGTGCTCTGAGGAAGTTTTGGCGTCGTATTGCTGACGTCCACAAATGCTGACATGCACAAATGCTGATTGCTCACCACCAGGAAGCCCGTGTGCTTTGCTCGGTGTCTGTCTTCGAAGGCCATAACAAAAATTGTGAGCATCGTACCACACACCATCGGAGCAGAATATATCTCTACTAATTAGTATTACTGCGTTTGTCACATCCCAATATAGTGTGCTTAATGCGAGAGGGAACTTCATACAAATTTTAGTTAAGTTTTACACGATTGAGGAGCTAAAAAACTCGTATTCAGCACACAGAAGCTCTTTTTTCACGCAGGATTTCAAACGGCGAAAAGAATAAATCCCATTTAGGAGTTGTATCTTGGCATTTTGCCATCTTCAAAAATCTGCCAAATTCATAGCCCACCTAATTAACTTCCCCAAAAACAGGATAATTTCTTCCTCTCTCAGTAGCTGTTAAACTTTAAACGCAATATTACGTGAAATTAATAAAAATAAATTATAACTTCATAACGCATTACCGCGCATATTAAAACTACCTTACTAATAAAGAACCCCGTAAAATATCACGGAGTTTCGGTAAAAAAAAAACCCAATTTTACGTTCAAAACCCCGCCACCCTGTCGTAAAACTTTCATTCGAACGGGGAGCTTATAAAATTTATTTCACCCNAATTCATAGCTCACCTAATAAGCTTCCCCAAAGCCACGGTAATTCCTACCTCTCTCAGTAGCTGTTAAAATTTAAACGCAATATTACGTGAAATTAATAAAAATAAATTATAACTTCATAACGCATTACCGCGCATATTAAAACTACCTTACTAATAAAGAACCCCGTAAAATATCACGGAGTTTCGGTAAAAAAAAAAACCCAATTTTACGTTCAAAACCCCGCCACCCTGTCGTAAAACTTTCAGTCGAACGGGGAGCTTATAAAATTTATTTCACCCCCTCCCTCAAGCTTTGTTTGTGCTTAGTGACCGAGTAATTCGGTTACCTGAGCAACTTTTGTCATAGATTTAAGTTTTGTAGATGGCTTATGTGGGTTCAAAACTTCAAGTAAAAACAATCATGTTTGGTCGCATTCATATGTACGACCTATTCGTTAAAATGTTTTTTTTATTTCTGTATATCTTTTATCTATAAAATTCCCTCCAAAAAACTTTTCTCATCTTCAGCCTTTCCGTGTAATCGCCTCTATGGATCTAGGCTAGCCGTAAGCACTAGTAAAAACATTGGGAGTTTTAGATTGTAGTTGGGAGTAGCGAAGTTAATAAATAAATGCAAATTTAGGATGAATTCATTATCCTATAAGATTTAAGTAGTCCGTTAGTGTAATGCTATCTTTTTTTTTTAAGATAAAATAGTAGTCTCCCGTTCGCAAACGCCTATCAAACGTATGCTAATATTTCAGCAATGACTCTTACTATTCATTTACGGTAGGCAGCGGCTTAGCTCTGCACCTGACATTGCTGACGTCCATGGGCGATGGTAATCACTCACCGTCAGGTGGGCTGTATGCTATTCTATCTACAAGGACAACAAACAAATATATTTGTGAATGCATCAACACTGATTAAGAAGAAAATAATTTTACACCATCAAAGAGTCTTCAGCTCTTGCATTTCTTTAATATGTTTTATACATTCAGACATTTCGCGTCCTTTACGATCCAATAAATTTCTTTCTAAAAATATGGGAACGTCTACCAAAATTAAATAATCTTTGAACCACAAGCCCTGTTTGGGGGTGGATAGCGATTAAACCAAATCGATTCATAGATCATTAAATCGGTACGGGTACTTGGTACTTCCGCCACGTGCCAACCCGTGTCACCGTTATGTTTATGGACTTTGATAAACGTGCAATCGTAAAATTCAGTCCGAGGGCTTCGTTCTTAATTGAGGTATTGTGACTTACTTTCAAGTAAACGTGAGGTAGTCTAAACAGCTTTCACCTGATTTCCAACGAACACTAGATTATTATCTATTGTTCTATTCTTCAAATATATCTGTTCTAACTAAGCTCTTATTACTGGTGGTGAACCTCTTGTGAGTCCGCACGGGTAGTTACCACCGCCCTGCCTATTTCTGCCGTGAAGCAGTAATGCGCTTCAGTTTGAAGGGTGGGGCAGCCGTTGTAACTATACTGAGATCTTAGAGCTTATATTTCAAGGTGTATGGCAGCATTTACATTGTATTATAGTGTCTATGGGCTCTGGTAACCACTTAACACCAGGTGGGCCGTGAGCTCGTCCACCCACCTAAGCAATAATAAAAATAAAAATAAAAAATAAAAAATAAATGAAATAGTTGATTTTTTTTTAATGAAAACAGACTGAAAAATATACCCCAAACAAAAAACAAACTCTGTAATCTATGTATCTACGAGCATTAAAAATCAGTTTGAATAAAGTATAATAAAAACCCATCGAACTATGTTAGCAAAGAAACCGATCTAAATAATTTTTTTTTTTTTTTTTATTGCTTAGATGGATGGGCGAGCTCTGGGCCCACCTGGTGTTAAGTGGTTACTGGAGCCCATATACATCTACAACGTAAATGCGCCACCCACCTCGAGATATAAGTTCTAAGATCTCAGTATAGTTACAACGGCTGCCCCACCCTTCGAACCGAAACGCATTACTGCTTCACGGCGGAAATAGGCGGGGTGGTGGTACCTACCCGTGCGGACTCCCAAGAGGTCCTACCACCAGTGATGTCAAAAGATTTGAAAGTTTAGGCAGTGTATTAAAATCAACTTAATACTATTTTTCGTCACAGGACATTAATTATACAACATAGAAAAAACCTAATCTTAAAATCTTAAAAACTTAAATTCTTACAAAACTGAAAATGTCGCAATGGGTGTTCTGAAAATTAAGAATACCCTTCATAAAACTAAAAGCGAAAACCAATTCGAAATAAATGATTCAATATTTTTCCTTTCCCCGAAATATTAGGTCGGAGCAGAAGTTAGCGGGGGAATGAATCGGATAGATAAAGTTAAAGCGCACACACCAGGTGGTCCGGCTATTGATCCACAACGCTAATGGCTTGATGGGGATACCGGAGCCGCTATAGCTGAATTAGATTTGGATATATATAGAGATTTTTTAATAAAAATAAACGAAACGAATGTCCGAGATTACCATAGGAATCAATCTTGAGTCTTTGCTAAAGGAAATGGAAGAATAGCCGAGAGTTTCACACCTCAGTAGACTGACGTTCTAGTGCCGTTTGTTAAGATATCGTCTTATTCAAAATTTTCACTTAGCTCACACGGAAATGCATCGCGATTCTTACTCTTTTTGTCGTAAACCAATTTTTGCACGTGGATAGATATTATATGACACAATTCGTTATAATGATCCTATGACACAAAAATGGGTGGCAACATTTGCTATAGAATATCTATGGTCTCCGTTAACCACAGTAAACCATGGACTGCTCGTTTACTCCAATAAAGCAAGGTGTAACAGAAAATAGATCGACTTTTTTAAATTCAAATAATTATTGTGACTGTGTCGTTTGATTTCATCTTTATAACAAACATTTGGTTTACCTTTGATACTTTTCTGATACCTAAAAGTAATTAGAAGTAGCACCGTCCTGTTTATTCTTTAGCTGAATAACTTAAAGTCCCCAACGAAGTTCGCGCTAATACTAGAATAGGCAAGACTATAATTCGAAACCCATATGGAAGTAGATGGTTATATTCACGATATGAGAATGAAGTTCTATAATCATTCGAAACACACATAAACAAGTTAAACATTAATCATAAGCCACATACAAAACTAGAACACAAAACAATCGTTCACAAACAATATGGCGTAGCGCGGCAACCGAACCCTTACCCCCGAATAACAAAAACCAATTACCTAACAAATCATCTTGTGACGTTCAATGCCATCGCAATATGCTACGAACCCACGTACCCCAAACAGTTCTGCTTCATTATTTAAATGTTTGTAAAACGGGGAGAAATCGACCCCATTGATAATCTATTAGTTTTGTACTTGCATCATGTTTTGAGCGCATTATCCGCTGTATTTACACGGTATAACAATGTGACTTGGCGGGACAGAATCCTCAGGCGATTCTATATCTTATTTTAAGGAGTACAAAGCCGATAATATGTTGCGAATTAGGAAATTAACACGTCTTCGTTACAGACGATCAAATAATGATTGGGCACGAATCAATTTTAGGCCTTTCCGCTGTTATTGATTTACGATCGAGCTGTGACTCGCTGTTTTTGTGTTTTTTTAAAACGTTATCAGCAAATAATCATCGTCTTGATTTAATTAGTAAGGCTTATTAATTATAATATGAATTGGATGTTTGGTGTGGGCTTCGAAAAAGAATAACACCTCCTCATCTCCTCCCGCGGGTGTGGTAAACGGCGACTAAGATCCTCCTAAGGACCTCCTAAGGACTAAGATGGGCAAGCGGCGTTCTCCAAGTATTATAAAGGTATACCACGATCGCCAAGATCGGCAGACAGAATAGTGGTACCTAATCAAGCAAGCTCCCCACTACGTCCTACCACACCAAATCTTTATTTACCACATTTAAAATTACTTTAGATTTCTCCTTTCATTCTAGTCGGACATAGTTCATCAGTCAGTATACGAGCTGGTCCATTCAGAAGATCGAGAGGAACTTCAAAGACAGATCCTTTGGAACTCCTTCCTGCCTCCAGAAGTCAGCAACCTCACGCTGCAGGATGTCCTGAGACCGGAGAGAGCTCATCTCTTGGAGAGAAGTTTCACTGTCCGGTTTAGGTGTTTGCTTGATAATACTTCAGGATTCCTGGTAAGATCTTTGTTTCGCTTTGTCTCATGTTAAATTTAAATGTCAATGATTAGATATCATATCTCATACTTAACTTTTTAACGCATACAGACGGGATCACGAGTCACCCTTTGATACATAATTGCCCATTTAATGATTACCGGCACCCGCCTTTAGACATGCGGTCGAAAAGTCAATTGTATTGCACAGCTGCTGCTCCACCGGAATTTATCGTGGCAGGACTAATTCCGCCAACTCAAGCGGTACGGTTACAGAGTGACTAGAACCCAACGTGCGCACATCTTGAGGACTGATCTCAAAATGTCAAATCACATATCAAAGAAATACAGAGTATTCAGGCTCAGAAGAGCCCTTATCAAAAACTCAAACTGAGACAAATAGAAATATGTAGAGTATACTTGGTTTGCAATATTATTTTCATTTGCGACTCCCCCTACTACTTCCTTATTCTTTAAATGTATGACATATCTCGTAACAGCATATGACCAGTTAATTTAGCTTCTTTAATTTCACAGAGGCTAGACATCCGAGGTAGAATAAAAATATTACACGGACAGAACAAGAAAACCGAAGAGCCGCCATTAGCCCTCTTCGCTATTTGTGCGCCGTTCGGGCCTCCGAGCCTCCTGGAAATACCTCAGAAAGAAGTCATGTTCAAGAGCAAGCACAAGCTTGATCTTTCTCTAGTCTCGATGGATCAAAGGTGAGACAAATATCCCTCTTTTTTTTCTACCTATGCTGATAGCCTTAAGAGGCTATTTCAGCGTACCCTAGAGTGTAGATGAGCTCTCGGGGCTCAAGCCGGAGGTGTTGCTAACACTGGCCCTAGCAAGAGCAGTGCTTCACAGAATCTACAACCGTACCGGAAACGCGACCCACTGAGAAGATCCGGCGAGAAACTCAGTGGGCTGTGTCTGTGGGTTAACTTACTCGCCGAGCCCTTCGTCGCAGGCAACGGGCTCGGCGTGGACGAACATCCCTCGAAGTTTTAAAGTCCGGTACGCAGCTAGACATTCCTCTCAGAAGGGTATGCATTATACAATAAGAGACGTCTGATGTGGCAATATTCATGTTATAACATCAATTGGTAAATAGCTCAACGTTCATTAAGCTATCCCTGATAGGTGGGCTATAGGCTCCTTGCATACATCCATTTTAATAAAAACATGTAATTTCAAGGCAATAGAGACATTAACTTCAGATGTCGTTGGTTTGAATTTGCGTTACATTGCGTGCTGCATATCAGGTTGATCGTGAGACCATTTGACGATGAATACAAAAATAATAGCTGCCGAAAAGACGTGATACCTTGAGATATAGTTTAAAAAAAATAGGCTTCGCTCACAGTGGTGATTGTTCAAGGCCATGAAACAGAAATCATGGTAGCCAACAACAAAATTAACGCACCGTGACCGTTATACTAGTAAAACTCATTCCTGATTTGCCATTTCCGATCCGACATACATGATTCGTAAACTGTAACTAAAATTCATCTAAAAACAATGAATTTACCGGCGCGATTCTAAAAAATGCTAAAGTTTTACTTTTCGGCGTTAATTAATCGGTTAGCGAATTAATATTTGTGTTAAGTGGTTACCGGGGCCCGTAGACATCAACAATGTAAATGCCGCAAACCACACTGAGACTAGAGCTCTAAGTCTCAGTTTTAATGGCGGCACCACCCTTCAAATCTAACCGCATATCTGCTTTCTACCCGTGTGAGCTCACACGACGTCCTACCGTCAGTAATTATTCACTAGATGATGACCGAGCTTTGCTCGTTTTTTTTTGATAACGCCATCTTGTTGTGTCTTAAAGCGGTTAGTTGCCGTCAATTAAGAAATATAGTATTATTATTCGCTAATAGATGTCGGGAAGAGTTGATTTTTGAAAACACGAATAAAACAACATTTTCTGAAAATAAATCGTAGCTAGATCGATTTATCGCCCCCGAAATCCCCTGTATACTAAATTTTATGAAAATCGTTGGAGCCGTTTCCGAGATTCAGATTATATACATATGTATATATTAATATACAAGAATTGCTCGTTTAAAGGTATAAGATTAAGCTACTTTAATCTTGAATACTACGTTTCTGCTTATTGCTTCAAATATGACAATAATAAAATATATAAAATTAAGGGTTAAAATATCGTCTTAAAACAAACGTTAGTGAAGTTTTAATTTTCGATGGCGCTTTTATAACTTTTTATGCCAACATTAAAGCTTAGTTTTCGTGAAATATTTTTAGAAAAACTAATTGGATTTCCATTTAGTAAAATTAATATTTAACTTAAAACCCTTTTAACGAAAAAAAATCTTATTATTAAAACGTCACATTTTCCCGACACTATTCGTACATTGTCTTCCCCTTCCAACGTGGATTTACAACAAAACGACCACGTGGCGACTTTTGTTATAATATTTGTAGTAATAAAAACGTGCCGATCAATAAAACGGAACATAATAGAACATCTTAAAATCCATATGAAATTTATAATTGACAACGTAAAACTCACCGGAACTAATGGTGTCGTTAGGCGATGGGAATTCCATCGCTCACGTCCCGGGAACTGTACAATACGATTTTAGTTTTGAAGTTTATATTATGTATTTTTGCTGTCATTACAAAAGATTAATACTCTAAGATTTTTTTCTTATTGCTTACATGGGTGAATGAGCTCATAGCCCACCTGGTTTTAAGTGGTTACTGGAGCCCATAGACATCTACAACGTAAATGCGCCACCCACCTTGAGATATAAGGTCTAAGGTCTCAAGTACAGTTACAACCCTTCAAACCGAAACACATTACTGCTTCCCGGCAGAAATAGGTGGGATGGTGGTACCTACCCGTGCGGACTCAAAAGAGGTTCTACCACCAGTAATTACGCAAATTATAATTTTTCAGGTTTGATTTTTATTACACGATGTTATTCCTTTACCGTGGAAGTCAATCGTGAACATTTGTTGAGTACGTATTTCATTAGAAAATTTGGCACCCGCCTGGGATTCGAACACAGGTGCATTGCTTCAACTGGTGCATCGCTTCAACACGAATACATCGGACGTCTTATCCTTTAGGCCACGACGACTTCATCATTACATTATTTACTCATCAATGCATGAGAAGGTAGAAATTAATATTTTTTCTCGTTTTCTTTTTCAGAGGTAAAATGCTACTAGGGTACACAGATGCGGAGCTGGCGAACATGGGCGGCTACGATTTGGTGCACTACGATGATCTAGCATACGTAGCGAGCGCCCATCAAGAACGTAAGTCCCGCACTGAGTTTCTCGCCTGATCTTCTCAGCGGGTCGCGATTCCGATCCGGTAGTAGAATCTGCAAAGCACTGCTCTTGCTAGGGCTAGTCTTAGCAAATTCTTTCACGGATCCATCAGATCTATTGGATCTATCTATGGTTATTGACCTTTGCATGAGACGTCTTTAGCTCTAACACTAGGAGCGGGCTTAACCGTACTCGTCGAACTTGCCAAAGAGGTTGACGTAATAATTAAAACTATTTTTATGATTTAATCTAGTCTTTAATACTGTTATCATTATTGCGAGGGTGCATATATATTATAAAGACTGCAAAAAGATACTAAAAGTATGATTTTTATTTGAAACATGTGAAACGCCATTACTAAATCTAATTTTTTTTTTTTAATTATTTTCATGTCACCTGCCACACACTAGTGGTACAATAACTTATACCAAGTTTCATCGCAATCTAGTGATTGGTTTAAAAACGCTTAGAGGCCAAACAAACATTGAGTTAATAAACAAACATAGCTATAAAGATACTTGAAGTGAACTGGAAAATATTTAGGAATCTTTCTCTGCTATTGTTATAATGAAATGAATAATGTTGAATTTGGTTTTTATTGCAGTCTTAAAAACTGGTGCTTCCGGAATGATCGCGTATCGCTTCCAGACCAAGGAGGGACAATGGCAGTGGCTTCAGACCTCCTCCAGGCTAGTCTACAAGAACTCCAAACCTGATTTCGTTATCAGCACGCATCGGCCGCTGATGTAAGCTTCTATACTTAATCTCTTACACTACGTAATTTTCATTTAACTAATTAATACAAGCTGTAAATAAATCGTTCTTGAAGGGAAAACAACATAAATATACCAGTCAATAATATTTTTTATTTTTATTACCCGTGTAAGCAGACAAGCATACGGCTCACTGGATGGTGAGTGGTTACCGTCGCCCATAGACTTCAGTAATGCCAGCGGCAGAGCCAAGCCGCTGCCTACCAAATACAACCAATACAAAATTAAACTATTCACAAATACTATGATTGAATAATGTTACATGAAAACGCGATGTAAGGCGAAGGTATCTGCCTCCCCGCGGTACCCGCGAAGTCACTGACCCCACGCGTCAGCTGATTTCATTTACATTACGTTGCGTGCTGTCACAGTACATTGTATAGTTATTTATCATTGTATACCTCTACTATCTGTCATTGTTTGTATTCGAATACAATTCTTTTACAATTTTTATTTTATTGCTTAGGTGAGTGTTCGAGCTCACAGCCCACGTGCTCTTAGATAACTTTGTATTTATGTTTAACTTTGTGAATTTCTTGCCTTCCAGGGAAGAGGAAGGTCGAGATTTGCTCGGCAAAAGGACAATGGACTTCAAAGTCAGCTACCTGGACACAGGACTTACGAGCCTGTACTTCTCCGAGACGGAACAGCTGTCAGGCTGCGAAACGAATGTCACCACCCCTCCCAGAACTACGAGGAGATACAAGACCCAACTCAGAGACTTCCTCTCCACCTGCCGCAACAAGAGACGAGTTCCAAGCACACCAGCCCCCCCACCCGTGGACTACTTGGCGGCTGATGCTGTCGCCGCGGCCTATACTAACTTGAACGGCGCGTACACGGCTCCCTACGGAGAATACCCGCCGGCTCCTATCCACTACGCTCCACCGCCTTTAGACGATCGGTTCATAACAACAGACAACATCTTTCATCAATACAAACCCTTGTCCTACCATTACACTCCATACGCGCCGAACGGCTTCCTCGAGCCGGCTCCTCCGCCAGGGTACGAGGTCGCTCCGGCGTACCATCGGCCTCCTTCCAGAGAGTACGCGTACGTGGACAGCAGCGGGAGGTATATGAGTCCGGTCACTGGGCAGGAGAGGCGGTCGCCGAGTGTGGTGCCGGGGCCCAGCCCTGCGGGGTCGAGCGGGTCGGCGGAGCAAGATCGGCTGCAGCCCGAGGCTCCGCGCCAGACGGTGCTGATGTGGGGCGCCGGGTCGGCCGCGCCCGCCGCCACCGACGCGCCGCTGGAGTACTCGCCCCCTCAGGTTTGGCGCTACCACCCCTCGCATTACCACACCGCTGAAGCGACCCAGTGAATCTAAACGTTTTTTTGTGCAATTTACTTTTAAGAATTTTTTCGTACCAAAATTTTAGTCAATTTGTTTTGCGAGATATAAATAAATAAATAAAAAATCTTTAAGTCTACGAGCGTTCGTGATTTTCTCTCAGTGACAATCGTAAATCAAAGTTTTAAATATTAATAAAAAAATATAGTATATAGCAGACAGTTGTATTCGCTCAAAACTTTTCCACGGTATAAAAGTGTTTGTTACCATTTTTTTTTCTCTAATTTATCGCTAATGATACCTCGCTCAGTGGTTTTAGCTTTCATGGCCTCTCGGTCTAGATCTAGGTCTCTTAGACTTAAACAGGGTCTTTCCAATATCGATTGTAGACAATTTTTTAATGTATTATAGTTGTTATCCGAGAAATTATATCCAAATATTTAAAAAATATGATAGTCCGACGAATCTTAGGGCTAGTTTTAGATGTCGCTGCTGGTAAATTTACGTAATGATGTTTTTGAAACTTACACCGAAAAATATATGTATGTTGATTGATTGATCATCAGAGCCGCGACAGCTACAAGAAGCCGACGTCCACCTTGAACCGTGGGCTCAAGGTCTAAATTGACATTGACAGAAATGAGCGGATAACAGTCCTTTATATTATTATTATTTAATTTTCTTTACTACATCATCCAATAATTGGCTTACTTAAAAAGATCAAAATTATATGCATACTTATACGTATACATAAGATACGAAATTCATTCGGGTGTTTGTCTGTGCGCCTGTACCACAAAATCCCACAAGATGTTCAGAACCTACATATACATAGGTTTAAGAAAACTATTAAAGAACATCTGTGCAATAAAGCTTACTATAAAGTCAATGATTATCTAGAAGATTGCACAAAGTGGGAATGAGTTGCTCGCTCCGGGCATTTCAATATTGTAGTAATTGTTACGTTATAATACTCATTGTAAAAAATTAATATTAAAAAAAAAACTAATATTAAAAATAAAATAAAACATATTTAAAAAAAAAAAACATGCCCGCTGAGTTTCTTGCCAATTCAAAGGACGGATGCTTGTTCTTGTGAATTGGCGGTAGTTCTTTTGACGTTCAACAAGTACATATGTACTTTCATTTATGTTGAATAAAAAAATTTGATTTAATTTGATTTGATTCGCAAATATATTGTTATGCCAATAGCAACTCTTACACCCCAAAGGCTATCTTTGTTCATGGCGTTTGGAACAACGCTGAAATGGCGGAAGCCCAATAAATTCCAGAACCTGTAGTAAGTCCCGCATGAGTCCATATCTTATATCTACAGTGATGCCATAATCAGTTCCGGTGGGATAGTCTTTCAATACAATACAATACAATTGAAACATAAATTATGATCAATTTGCTTTCATACTTGGTGGAGTTTGAACGCGAACCATTCTGTAGCGCACAGACGATTTGATTGCGCGTTTATCAATGTTAATATCCACAACACTATTCAACGTTTAACTGAAAATCATATATTAAAATACATAGATAATAATGATAGAAAACAAATAGGTGAGAACAAATCACGCACAGTTATCCAGCCTCAAATAAGGATTCCCTATGTTATGGGTACCAAAGATAAATTCATATTTATATGCGTTTAAATATACTTATAATATATTTTTTCTGGTGATAGGACCTCTTGTGAGTCCGCGCGGGTGGGTACCACCGTCCTGCCTATTTCTGCCGTGAAGCAGTTATGCGTTTCGGTTTGAAAGGTGGGGCAGCCGTTGTAACTATACTGAGACCTTAGAACTTATATCTCAAGGTGGGTGGCGCATTTACGTTGTGGATGTCTATAGGCTCCAGTATCCACTTAACACCAGGTGGGCTGTGAGCTCGTCCAACCATCTAAGCAATAAAAAAAAATACATATATCGATAAAAAACAACCAGAGGAAAATCAAACAAACCTGTTCATCACACGATGTGGGAGTCGAACCCGCGACCCTCGGTACAATAGTCAGAGGGAGTAAATACTGCACCGCTGAGTCAATCAAATATATTTTTAATTAAACATCAGAACATCATTACGTAACAATACCAGTAATGAAACACGTTAGTTTTAATCATTTGTAAATAATTATACAATTAACAGTTTGAGCTTGAACGAAAATATATTATATTTGTGCGCATTTTTTTTAAATGATAGAAATCGTAAAATCGTTTTTAATGAAAATTAATTAATAAATAAAACGTTATTTACACTATAGCGATTTTACGGAAATTAATGTGAAATTTAACCATATCACAGTCGATTAAAATTATTATATCTATATAAAGCACGGTTCGTGAAAAGCATAATTCCACAGTCCAAAAACATTTTGTGATTGTCCTTATAAAATGATTCTGCATAGTGGTATCTATCACCTTTCATATACTTACCTAATATTTAATAAATCGTAAAGAATGAAAGAATAGCTGATCAATTGTTTTTGAAAATTTTCATGTTTTATTAATACGATATTTTAATTTGAATATACATGTTTAAATTATAAAAATAAATTATTTCACATACATATTTAAACAATTTAAATTCCAAATCTTGCGCGGCACAAATGATAATACCTAATATTATTGATGGCCTACGATTTACGCATTTAGAAAAGATCAAATCAATTCCTCAGTTAATTCGATCAGTTTTTAGTACGTATCTATTTAAATCGCAATAGTGAACCGGGAAATTAATTTTACCAGTACACTTCACTACATAGTATAAAACAAAGTCGCTCTCTCTGTCCCTATATCCCTATGTATGCTTGAATCTTTAAAACTACGCAACTGATTTTGATGCGGTTTTTTAATATATAGAGTGATTGAAGAGGAAGGTTTATATGTATAATAACTTCCATTAAATAGCGGAGAAATCAATAATAAATTACAGTTTCCGAAGCGAAGCGAAGGCGGGTCGTTAGTAATAATAATTATTAAAATATTATTTACGGTTTACTCTCACGTTTATAATTTAGTTTTTTTTTCTATAATAAAAACCGTAAATAAAAGTTTAAAACTAGCGTAATACGAAGACCATGATGTTAAAATTAGTTGACAGCTGTCAAATACTTAAGAAAAAATTTGCAGGATTATAAGGGCGATCGCAATCTATTGCACTGTCATGCCAACGCCAAACCCAGCACTGCAACTGTAAATACACTTACTGTGCCTTTACCGCATTATCACAAATGATTTTATTATTAAATAAAAATAAATTATTATTATTTTTTGTTTTTTTTTTATTTTTTGTGCTGCAGTGATTGGCGGCGTTGGCATGTCGACGCGGACGAACAAAATGTACTTCCGACAACAATTAGTATTAAGTAACGAATTAGATTTAAAAATTAATAAAATTAAAATATTTTTTCATTTTATTTGATCTTTTTTACGAGTAACGCTAAATTTTCACTTTAATCAAATCACTATTAATTATAAATTAAAAACGATTTATGGTATTAGAAATTTTAAAATATTATTGTTATTATTAATGTATAATTACCAAATTATTACAATCACGGAATTGAACATATTAAATGATATATTGAAAAGAAAAACTTACGTAGTTTTGTAATTCTCTTATAAAATATTATTACATATTGAATAGAAAAATATTATAACATTTTATGAGAACTTTTGTTTTTTACTAAATTCAACCTAAGTATCGTTTAGCGTGTTACTCGTAAAAACGATATAAAAACACTTTGTCTTCTTATTGCATCTATAAATAAAACGTCGCAAAATCGATTCTGTTGTATGTAATAACGAGTCGAAATCTTCCAGTTGTGAGTTTATAAATGCGCACACGTTGACAATTACTACTTATATTATGTACTATCACGATTCATTCATAACGTGTAATGCTCCAAAGATTAGTGTTATTCATAAATGATATTAGATTTTATCCACACAATAATCCTTGGCACTTAGCTTAAAAGTGAGTAAGCAAAAATGAGTGGAGTTTTTGGAACGAAGTTTTGGAACGAAGTTCCTTATGGGACGATGCGGAGGGGTACCCTAACCGGGGAAAAAACGTCCGTAACATAAGATTTTTATTAGTAATGCACACAGTGTTCGATTTAACTTTGTAATCACGTACAAAAAATAACATTTTTGTATCATTCATTGACCACGATCTCAGAGCGTTCGTTTGCGCAATACACTAACTCTTATGCAAACAACCGTGAATGAAGTGTACCACAATAAGTTCGCACGTTACTGAATGACCGTAGGTTGTTGCGAAACCTCCAGTTTTATTTTCTTTATACCTCGAATAGAAGTTAAAATTAATATTTTTATAATGAGGAACTTCGTTCCTATCCGGTGTCCCACGACACCACACATCTTTTTTTAGCCTAAGGGGCTATTCCAACTATACACGGCTTCATAAATGAGTTCGCGGAGCTCCAACTGGGAGGACTTGCTAACATTAGCCCTAGCAAGAGCAGTCCTGTGCTGAATCTACCATTTCGCGCAAGTGGATTTATTAAAATAATACATATTATGTCTAATAACTTTTACTGCCACAAACACATTTTTTTTTCAACATACGGATAAAGAAATAAAAAAATCATTTTAATGATTATTCTAATACGGAACATAGCTATGACTAAATTGGCGCACAGATTTTATAAGCATCGGCTGAACGCAAGTTTCTTACTTATGACGTAATTCTTTTTTCTTTCTCAATTGACATTTAAAAAAAGTAGTTTCCAAGCAAACAAAAAATACAATAAATTTAGTCAATAGGTGCTAAACAATATTATAAAAAAAAAAGAATTTCGCTCAAAAACTCTTCAAAAACTTTCTCTTGGCGTACCTATTTAGTTGCGTCCTGGGATCCACGGAATGCTAATTAATTTTCAAAATACATTATCACTCACATTGACCGAGGCAAACAGATGAGAAATATTTAGATGTCATTTTTAACTAAAATCTATCTATATATTAATACGTGAAGCAAAAACTTTGTATCCCTTTTTACGAAAATTGCGCGGACGGAGGAGTATGAAATTTTCCACACTTATAGAGAATACAGAGTAGAAGTGCACAATGCTAATATTTTTTTAAAATAATGCATAAAAGATACATTAAATCAATAAAGAAAACATTACACACACTACGTACCATGTGTTTGACGCACACACGCATGCATACTATTTATTGTTAAACTTTTGTTCTTGACGTCTGTGGTCAAACTGTCTTTATTAATATTTTTTAAAATTGTAGCCTTAGCGAAATTTGTGATTATAAAGTATAAAATACAATCATAATAGTGTACAAACTTACAATTCCAATTAATTATAGTCGAATTTCGACTACTGCGGGACCTCTAGTTTCAATAATAACACATTTATGAATAACACAAAATCTCTAATCGCAAATCGTTACACGATACCTTGTTTTGTATAGTTAAATATAAAATAACATATATGTGCATTATGAAATACAATGAATTTCACTTTAATTTATATTTTGTAAATATTTAAATTAAGGGCGTAGTGATTGTTTTCGAGGAACGATAATATCCATTAAATATTGTAATTAATTTTAAATGAAATAGTAATAATATGAATATCAGTCCGTTCTAAATATTTATTTTAGCGTAACAACATCATTTTAATGTAATTTGAATGAAGATCAAATAAATTTTTTCATGCCACTGAAATTTATTATTTTTATTTTTGTAATTGCAT